ACATAGCATAAGGTCATTAATATGTATCAAAAAATGTAATAAAAATTGGAGGTGTTTTTTCCGCCATTTTTCAGAAAAAACCATGGGCTATAGTACAGGGTATTTTTCAGATTTTGGCAATTTTCTTAAAATGGCCGTAACTTGAAAAATTTAAGTGGGAATCGGCTCAAACTTTCTACACAGCATAATGACATCAATATGTATCAAAAATTTGAGACGACTTTTAAGCCATTTTTTGGAAAAAAAGCATACACCACAGTACATGCTTTTTTCATCTATTTATAAATGATACATAACATTAATATCCTTTTCCTCTTACCTCATTATATCTTAAGTTTGCCAACTTTTTGACGACTTCACTATTCAAACACAATCATAATAATAAAAAAATAATAATAACAATAACAATAATAAATATATTCTTACTAGGGTTGGCATCTACTGGATCTGGTTCTCAAGCTTCAAAGTCCTGATCAGGATCATCATACTCATCAGAAAGATCAAGCAACACAGTCTCACCTTTCGCCAGCTCCTACACCACAAGTCATGTGACCATCACATGACCAAATACATGTACATGTACCTCCAAAAGGTCGTTGTTACTATCATCAATCAAACTGGCCATGATACGTGTCACTGTACCTGTGATTATTAAAAGGTATAAGTTATTAAAACTACAGTTATTAAAAGTTATTAAACACTATTAAAGTGTAGTTATTAAACTGCAGTTATTAAAAACTATTAAACTGTAGTTATTAAAAGTTATTAGACTGTATTTATTGATAGTTATTAAAAATGGTTAATTAATTTTAATAATACCTCAGATACGCTTTGACTGGTTCACATACTCTTTCCAATACAACACCAGTTGGGTCCAGTAGCTTTAGACTACGAACTGAAGAGATGTACTGGGTAATGATATCAGATGTATTAGCACCATGGTGGAGTAATCTACTCTCATAACTGGTGGGGGAAATAAAATATTAGAATCATAAATTATAATAATTATTATTGCTATTATTAAAAATTCAAATACATCAAATTATACTAAATAATAACACATTCGTAAAAATTATTTAAATTTATTAGAAGAGAAAAGGGATTTGTTAAATACACGTTTAAGTCTAACACTTTAGTTAATGATTCCACGAGCTCTTCTCTCAAATCAACTTGACGCAAGCACTCATGCAAATCAACCAGCACTGATTCTGAATCAGAGAAATCAACAATATCAAACAATTCACAAATCCTAAGCAAAGAAAGCTGAAACATACATGTACATGTAATACCGTAATCGTCCATAGCATTGTATATGTAATGTAATGTATATGTGATGTAATATCCTACCAGACCACTCCTTACTAATGTCACCTAATAATAATAATAATAATAATAACAATAATAATAATAATAATAATATTAGTTTCTTAATACATGTATAGTTTCTTTGTTTTGTTTTTTGCTTTGTTTAGTTTTCCCATAGGGCCTTCCCTCTCCTTTCCCTTTTTTGTTTTTCTCTGTTATTAGTTATGCTTTGTTTTTCCTTCATAATAATAATGATAATAATAATAATAATAATAATAATAATAATAATAATAATAATAATAATAATAGTAATAATAATGTCCATTACCATATATGGCATTGAGCCAACAACCTAATAAATCCTGAAGTTCCTCAGTGACCACGCCCAACAAACTCTCATCAAATACTGTCCGAGCCACAATCAGTCACATAATCTTTAACCTTAAAACCACACCCACATTAATTAATTTATATTATTAGACACGCCCACTTTGTTTTCAATGGTGAGAACAGTAGAATGGGGATAGGAACTGGTCCCTCAGACCAAGGAACAATAATTTATGTACCAAAAACTGAAACTCATTCCGGTACCAAAGTTGGTCCATATGGGTCTCAGTCTCCATTTCTTCTTCCTCTCTCTCTCCTCCTCCTTCTCTAGTTGTTTCATAAGCTATTAATGAGTCCTTCACTAGCGACTCCACTACTTTAAAAGCTACGCCTCCTTTTGATAGCCACGCCCATATTAATAGTCCCAACACTTTACACATCACCGCCCACTTGTCATTAATACTAGAACAGATCGTTAATGATTGTGTTACTATGGTTACTGAAGTGACACACCCACTAATTATTTGGAGTGAATAGAGTCCTTTCATTTCTTTTATTACATTATTGAAACTTATCGAGTTAGTTAGATCAGAAATTGCTTCTAATACTTCTTGTAAAATCACATAATTTGACTAAAAATTTTTAAATAGAATAAAATTAATATTTTAAACTCCATTCCTTACCTTATTAGCATCAAAATGACTCCAAAATTGAGGCAACAGCTTATCTTGTAGTGATACTTTTAAGTATCCTAAATAAAAGTTATTCTAATCAGAAATAAGTAATAAAATTACCTTTCAATAATTTTACACCAAGTGCTTCCATTTTGACACGTGGTTATAGTATACTATGGTTTTCAACAGTTGTCAGTTCTATTGATCCGTAAATTTTGCGGGGGTGTAAAAACAAATGGGTGGGGCTGCATATTTCTGGCTTGCTTTCTTCTTTCTTCAACAGCGCAGGAATTATTTTATTATCAGATTAAGTGGGTTAATTATTGTGAATAACAGTGAGATTATTCACTTTCTCATAGGTAACAATGGCAGAAAACACAAGTCTAGGTATCACTATGACTTGTGAGGTTTGTTCAGAGTATTACACTGACCCCCTCATGCTTCCCTGTCTTCACTCATTCTGTAAGAAGTGTCTAATAAAAGCTAAAGAGAAGCAAGGTAGTGCTGATACCTTATTAAAGTGTCCAACGTGTGACACTAGCGTTAATTTACCTGATGGTAAAATTGAAGGCCTCACTCAAAACCTTTGGTTTGAACATAAATCAAAAGAGGCTTCGATCAAAAAGAAGATCGTTAGCAAGGAAGCAGTATCGTGTGATAAATGTGATGATTCCAGTGATGCAGCTGTCGTGTTTTGCTGTGATTGTGGCCAGTTTCTGTGCGATCATTGTAAGAAAGGTCATAAGCGAAACAAGAAAGAAGCCAATCACAAGTTGATTGATCTAGAAACAAAGGAATCCATTGAACTGCCTGTTATTAATTATGAGGCAGTTTATTGTGCACGGCATCCAGAAAAGCTGATATACTACTGCAATGATTGCAATAAACTGGTTTGTCAGATTTGTCTTAACATTCACCATAAAAGTCACAATTACAATTATTACCTAGATGAGGGTGATACAGCACATGAAGCATTAAAGCAAAGTATTGCTAGTTGTGATGGAATCATTCATCCAGTCACTGAAGCTATTGCTAATGGAGAGAAAATGCTAGAGCAGATAGCAACACGTAAAGAAGAAGTAAGGCAGGAAATCAAGGAAACGTTTGAAGAGCTTAAAGCTGCTTTAGATAAGAGATGCAATGATCTACTAATGGAGACAGAAGAGATTGCTAGCGCTAAGAGGAAATCTGTTGAGAAACAGTTGGATGGGTTTCGTAAACTGGTAAAACAGGTTTCTCACGGTTGTCACCTTGCGTCATCAGTGAGTGAGTGTACTGATCCAGGTGAAGTTCTCAGTGTTAAGAAGCTAATCACCAATCAACTAGAGGAATGCATTGAAGAGTATAAGAAACTACCTCTAGAAATAGAAGAAAATGAAGCAATTTTAACTCGCCTTGATATTACTGCCATGAGCAATGAAATTTGTAGATATGGTGGTGTTTTTGAAGTTGATCCAGATCTTTACTCCATTGAAAGTGGAAAAGCCATTCCTCTAGCAACAGTAGAAAGGGAACGAAAATTTAAACTTGCTATTAATATCGCTGTACCTCTAGATAAAGCATTGCATCAAATATGCCCTTCCTTTATCAAAAGTGATGGTAGTAAAGAGGAGGGTAGAGTTGTTATAGTTAATGATAACAACACAGCCATTGTATCATGCACACCTCAAAGTATTGGTGGATATGAACTATCAGTGACTATAAGAGGTCACCATATTAAAGGTAGTCCTTATCAACTGTCAGTAAAAGCATCAAGAGACTATACCACACTAACTAACCAGAGATACTTTAATGTGCAAGTCGGCAATGGTACTCCTGGTGTTGCTGTTCATACTAATGGTGAAGTATTTGCTAGTAGTGATGGGTTCGTTCAGGTATTTAGGAAGGATGGTACTGCAGTAAGAAGGATTGGATCTAGAGGCAATATTGGACAGTTTGGATATCCTTTTGGTTTGTTGCTGCTAGAAGACAGGCTGTATGTGTCTGATCATACTCTTAATCGTGTGCAGTATTTCTCAGCTACTACTGGTTACTATATTGGTCAGTTTGGTCATCAAGGTAATGGAAACGGGCAGTTTTCTAATCCTTGTGGTATGTCTACTGATGGTAAAGGTAACATATTAGTAGCAGACCTCAACAACAACAGAGTCCAAGTATTTAAAGAGGATGGTACATTTGTACAAGTCATACAATGTGATGGTAGAGCAACTGATGTAGCAGTTGATAATGAAGGAAAGATACATATCACCATTGAAAATCAACATCATGTTAAAGTCTTCTCTCCTGATGGTAAAATTCATCTTGACACATACAATAATCCAGCTGGTAACTTTAATAATCCTAATGGTATTGCTATTGATGATGAAGGATATATCTTTGTATCAGTTGGCTGCAACTATCTTCACGTATTGAGCCCTGACAGGAAAGAAGTCAAATTAATCTCGGGATTTTCTGATCCATGGGGTGTAGCACTGGATAAGGATGGATATATTTATGTTGCTGATTATAGAAGCAAACTTATAATGAAATATTAAGTAGTCATCCAATAGAACAGCAATAAACTAGATATACTAGAGAAATAAAACTTAATGACATCTTTAACTCCAATACCCTCTCTCTTTTCTCATCCCCCCTTTTACTCAACATACTTTCTTCCCCCTTCCTTTCTCACTTTCTCCTTCTTTCCTCTCTAATTCTAACTGATTATTATTAATAATTAATTTATTAATTTGATTCAAAATTTTTGAAAATTCAAAATAATACCATCATTGTTCACATGTTCTGGTATATAGCATAATTATAAATTATGTTTTATACATCACAGCTAGTGAATCAGTACTTGATAATAAACTAACTATAGTTGATCTAAGTAATCATATTGAAATGGCTAATGTTACTGCCGGTACTTCTTTCATATTTACCTATTCAATGTATGTCATGTTTGACTCCACCCACAACCACACCTACCTCCATAAAATACATGACTTGTGTGAGTAGTTTTTAAGGTTCAATGACCCATCCACTTGTCATGACCTAGTAAAACTTTGTATATTCTAGTAACTTTATTACATCTCTCTAACCTTTCCTCTGGTTTTGGAGGACGTTCTGGAACTTTAATAAAAGTACCAAGTATTATTTTCATATTAGGGTGAAGGAGAAGGACAGAGATATAAAAAGGGAGAGGGGAAAAGAGAGTGCACAATATGTCCATGGTATCGTGTATCTTTGATATTTCACACAAAAGTATGTAAAAATCCCTTTATTGTTTTGAAAACATTGTGCTACATAAATACAATACATCACATGACAATCACATGATAAAATCACACTGATACAAATGTACTCTTTATTTCAGGATTTCCTGCAAAGCATACTAAGCAAGCTAAACAGCACACTTCATGAGTTGACAAGGAATACAATGAATCATGTACATTGCACATGTGCATGGCTTTGGAGCAACTTTAAAAATTTATAAAAATCCAATTTTCAATCAGAACCAGATCAAACTTTCTACACATAATAACAACATTAATTTTTAAATTTCTTTTCACTATTACTCTCCTTATTTTCTCATTGCCTCATTGTGTTAGCCTACTAATTATCCTTGTCTTGTATTTATTTTTTAAAATGTTCATTTAAGGGTTCAGCTCCCTCCATACTGTATTATAATAGGGACTTTGATCCAATTTTAGAGTAACTTGAAATAAAAAATCTAATTTCGATTGAGATCAGCTTAAACTTACTACAAAATATAAAAACAAATATGCATAAAAATTATAAAAATGGAAAATTCTCTTCCTTTAATTTTTGGCCAAATTTGGCCAAAAACCCTATACTATATAGTACAGCTGATACCATATAGCAAGAAAATTTAGAGGGACTAAAATTTGGTGAGTTGCTAAATTTTGGTGATTAGAAAATTTTAATTTGGAAATTATTTATGGCCACGTGGCATTGAGCATGCGTATATTAGCTCAAAATGACAGATTTTATTTTGATGAATGGCTATCGAAATGCCAAATTTGCCAAATTTAATTCCGTAATTTAAAAAATTGTAAAAAATCTAATTTCAATTGGAATCAGTTAAACTTGCTACACAAATGGAGAACTCTCTTTTAGTCACTTAAAGACCCAGTACTAAAGTAAAGGGACTTTTGATCCCATTTTGAGTAACATTAAAAAGTCATATAAAATTTAATTTGATGGGATGGAGCTTAAACTTGCTAGACAACATAAGAACATGTACCATATATCCTTAAATAGAAACTGCATGTGAATAAATGCCGGGGTAGCAATAGAATTCAACTATAAATACGCAAAGCTAGCCTTCAAGTAACTCAGTAGTCTTGTGGATACTGCCTGAGATTCCAGAAGTCAAGTGCATGAGGTCACGGGTTCAAATCCCGCTCAGGGCCAAAGTTTTCTTCAAGGTCCAAATATCATTTTAGGAAATAGATGCCCGGGCTTTTACTTAAGGAAGTACTGTATACATATTTTTAAAATTATAAAAATGGAGGATTCTTTCTCAGTCATTCTTAGCAAAATTTGGCCGAAAATCCTGTACAGGAATTTTGATGACACATGTATTTTTAAGTGACAAATTTGTTAAAAAATCCAATTTGTATCAGAATCAGCTTAAACTTGCTAGATGACAAAAGAAAATGTGTCGTATACGTATCACAAAATTAACATAGAGAATGATATCTTATTAATCTTTGATGAAATTTGGCCAAATACTCTGTACTACTTTAGTACATGGTCTTTAGTTTGATTTTTTAGTAACTTGATAAATTCATAAAAATTGGAATCAGCTTTAACTTTCTACACAACACAACAACTTGTATCAGTATCAGAAAAAACATAAAAATGAAAAACTCTCTTTTGTGACAAAATACACCATTAATTTGTTAAATTTTGCAATAATTAAAAAATCTAGTGTCAAAATGCTAAGCACTATGCCAAAAACCTGTGGAAAACCCTGTTCTATTTGCTCACGTAATTAATAATGCAATAACGAGAAACCAAAGGTGTGTGGCCTCACCCCTAAAGCTGTTTGGGAGGTGTTAGGCTTAAGCTAGTCCAAGCCAGTATATTTAAATAATATCATCAAAAGTGACAGACTAAGCAAGTGTGAAAAGTATGATGGGACTCTGGAGTCCCTTTAAAAATTGGTAAAATGTCAGTATTCATAAATTCCTATTTGCATCTCAAGATTTATCACTTATTGATATCACACTATTTATACTTATTGCACTCTCAATTTAAAACAACGTGACATCATGTGTTTCAAAAACACAGCTTTTGTTGTGGCCACTATCTATCAAAATCATACTATACAAAAAATTTAGAAAGTGCTCCTGAGGCCAAAGGATTATCATAACAGCTAGCTTTCTAGCTGCAGTTACACTTGCTCTTGCATGCTTGCAGAAGTGGAAAGCTACATGTAGCTGCTCCAAGGCCAAGGCTCCAGCAACTCCTAGCTTGGAGGCGTGGCATTAATTATCAATACAAGACCATGTGAGAAGGAAGCATCAGGTTTTTTCTCTTCTTCTAAGCGCTATAATGGCACAAATATTGTTGCTATATAGTACAGGGTATCTTTCAGATTTGGGCAATTTTCTTAAAATGGCCGTAACTTAAAAAATTTAAGCCAGAATCGGCACAAACTTTTTACATAGCATAAGAACATTAATATGTATCAGAAAATGTAATAAAAATTGGGGGTGGTTTTTTGGCCCTTTTTTGGAAAAAGCATGAGTTGCCTTGGGTATGTCTTAGATTTTGGCAATTTCTTAAAATGGTCGTAACATGAAAAATTTAAGTCTAAATCAGGAATCAGCTCAAACTTTCTATACAGCATAAGGGCATCAACATGTATAAAAATGCAATAAAAATTTGAGGTGACCTTTAAGTCATTTTTTGGGGAAAAAAGCATGTACTATTGTACATGCTTTTTCCATCCTTTTATGAATGATACATAACATTAATATTCTCTTCCTCTTACCTTATTATATTTGAAGTTTGCTGACTTTTTAATGACTTCACTATACAAACACAATCATAATAACAACAACAATAATAATAATAATAATAATAATAATAATAATAATAATAACAAAAAACAAATATATTCTTACTAGGGTTGGCATCTACTGGATCTGGTTCCCAAGCCTCAAAGTCCTGATCAGGATCATCATACTCATCAGAAAGATCAAGCAACACAGTCTCACCTTTCACCAGCTCCTACAGCACAAGTCATGTGACCATCACATGACCAAATACATGTACATGTACCTCCGAAAGGTCGTTGTTACTATCATCAATCAAACTGGCCATGATCATGTCACTATATTGCTTCGAGTCCTGCAATTATTAAAAGGTATTAGACTGTAGTTATTAATAGTTATTAAAAATGGTTAATTAATTTTAATAATACCTCAGATACGCTTTGACTGGTTCACATACTCTTTTCAATACAA